GAGTCAGATATGTGGAGGTAAGGATGGTCCTTGAGAAAGACGACAAGGCAACCAAAGCGAGCGGTGTCGGATGATTCACGAGAGGTGTTAAAGAATTTATTGCGATGTGCAGTTGGGATGCCGACGCACGCAACCAACTCGAAGTACGCGGAGTTAAGTAGGGAGGTAACTCAGGTGGTTTCGGATCCACCGCAGGGGCGTCTGTGAGGTTGATGAAATCTTCCAGGTCCACGACACTCCGAACGACACCCTCTCGGATGGATACATCGTCTCCTAACGACTTCACGATTACAGGCTCCAGGGTCCCAAGACTCAAAGCAACGATATCTCCATTGACCCATCCCTTCTTGCTCGACATCCCAAGAGCGATTCTGGTCATGCTGCTCACGACACCGGGTAAGATGGAAGGTAAAAATTGCTCTGAAGAATATACGCTGATGAGTGCACGCAGAATCTTCAGCGAAATGCGTTGCAATTTGAGATGAGGAGACTTTGCGGTGAGAAGGAGCGTATTGATAGTCTGTCCGAGGATAGGCATGAATTGCAGGCTCTGGGAATGAACTTGAAACTGTGAAACACGCGTATGCAATAGTTCCTCAGGAGATTCTTGTGGCGCTTCCTCTGCGCGACGTTCCCGAAGAATAGCCCACAGACATCGTGCGGCTGCTTCTTTAGTTTCATCATCCCTGACTTTGCCCTTGCCCTTGCCTTCGACGCCCCCGATGACGGAGCTGGATAACTTGAATATCTGGTCCCATATCTGTATGTCGCAGTACCACCACCATGTTTCACATAGAATGGCAAGAACACCAAATATCTTCTCCAGAATTTGGTCCGGGATGACAGACAAGTCATTCCGGCGGAGGATTGTGGATAATGGGAAAAATATGTATGACACCAAGGACTGAGATAGGGTGAATCCAGTTCGACCTGCATCAAGCAGTGTGCTTTCAAGATTGGACAGCAGAGGCAATATATTTGCTACGGTCCCCGCAGATAACTGTGACTTCTCCAGTAGCGGTACGCATATATATTTGAACTAAATCGATGGTTAATCCAGTCAGGCAAGGATATAGACTGTGTTGCACGCACCTTTGTGAACCATTGTTGTGATAGACTATCGTTGAGTTGTGTGTTCATTAGCCTTCATCAGCGTTCGCTGACAGTGACAAGTCTCAGCTGTGCTTGTAGTAGCGATCTATTATTGACTCCGAAACTCCGAGAGTTTCACTTGCATCCGAGTCATGGGTATCTACCACATACCAATTTATTTACTCATGAGTATCCGTTCAACTTTCTCTTCTTATCTTAAGACTTAGGCTCAGCTTCTCTCCATTTTCTCTACCTTCCTTCCTGTTCGTCTGTTTTCAATGAGTCCTGAACCCCCAAGGATTTTAGCTGGTCGACTCATATGACTCTTTCACGTACAAGTAAGTCCTCTTACTCTTACTGAGGAATGCCACTCAACCATTTTCAATAGCTTAGCAGCGTTGTGTCGGAAGGCTATCCCAAACTGCTACGTGCATATCATCAAGAATGATGACATAGAACTTAAAGATCTATCATCATATCTACCCTTTTTCTCTGGTGTCATCGTCGGCCCCGGCCCCGGATCTCCAGATATTCCAGAGGACATTGGTCTCGTCAAAGACCTATGGAAGATTGACAACGCACATCTTTTGCCAGTTTTTGGCGTTTGCCTGGGCCTTCAGAGTTTAGCTCTTGAATACGGGGCCAATTTACGCAGGCTCTCTGTCGTCAAGCATGGTCATGTGTCTGCTGTCGAGCATAATGGCACAGATATATTTAAGGGCGTCGGCCCCGTGGATGCCGTTCGTTACCACTCCCTCCACGTCGAGCTGAGTGGTGCGAAGGATATTGAAGAACTTGCATCGACACATGATGAGGGGAATGGCAGGGTAGTAATGGCCCTTAGACATCGCACTCGACCCTTCTGGGCTGTTCAGTATCATCCTGAATCAGTTCTCACGCGGGGTGGAGGTATTGAAGTTATGTTAAACTTTTGGCGTTTAGCGCGGACTTGGACTTCTTCTCATGGGCGAGTCACACGCCCATGGGATAAGAAAGCAGATGCAATCTTTGGCGTTCCGTGGCCATACGTCCGCCCATTGCCAAGCGCCCCTCGTGTCAATACGCCACTATCCGCTTCTACGATAAAATTGAGCATCCCGGGTCTGTCTGCTCCTGACATATGCGAGGTCTTGGGCGTCGACGATGACTCGTCTCCCTTCGTTATGCTAGAATCTGCTGCACACCCAGGCCGCTTCACTATCATCGGCTGTTTGACTTCGACGTCCCTTCGAGTCACATACACCATTGGAAATAGTTTCGTTCATTTGGCAAATGGGGAGTCGTGCGATCAAATAGATCTAGGATCTCACGACGTGTGGTCCTGGCTTACCACTTTCATGAACAAGCGGAAGGTCTCTGGCGGTTCATCGGAAATACCATTCTGGGGTGGCCTCATTGGCTATCTGAGCTACGAACTCGGTACCGACTCTCTCAGAGTATCAGCTGATCGGGTATCTAGCCAGACACGACACCCCGATGTCAACCTCGTGTTCGTAGAGCGCAGCATAATTCTCGACTCAACTTCTGGACACATTTATGTCCAATCTATCACAGAAGACGACAACGAATGGCTGACGGAAATGGCCGAACAGCTTCACTCTGCCGCCCGTAATTATTCAACATATTCTTCGTATAATACTACGTCTTATTCAACCAAGGCGCGGCCAAATACGTCTACTGTCATTTTACCAGACCGGGACCTCTATAGATCCCGCATTAATCTTGCGAAAGAGCATCTCTTTGCTGGAGAATCCTATGAGCTGTGTCTTACAGCTAATACTCACATCGCGTTGAACGACCCGTTGGCACCCAAGGCTTCATCGACATACTCCCCATCCTGGCAGCGTTATAAACATCTTCGCGAGCTCAACCCCGCCCCTCACGCTGCGTACCTTCGGTTGCATCCAACGACCTTACTAGCCTCGTCACCAGAGCGGTTCCTCTCATATACTCGTCCACCTGGAACTACGTATAAACTATGTCCCGTCAAGGGCACCTTACGCAAGGGCCCTCATATCACCCGTGCTGTTGCTGAGCAAGCGCTCAGGGGCAGCCAGAAGGAGGTTGCCGAAAACCTCATGATTGTCGATCTTATTCGGCATGATATGCATGGAGCTGTTGGGGAGAATGTAGAAGTCAAACAATTCTGCACTGTGGAGGAGTGCAAGACGGTGTGGCAGCTTGTTAGCGTTATCGAAGGCCAGTCGGCAGACGATGCCGATAAAACGGCCAGCCACTATGCTAATGGCGCACTGGGGTGGGAGGTTCTCAGACGCAGCTTACCCCCGGGTATGTCATGTGGAGTTGTTCTTGATTCAACTGTTCCTGATCTATTTCACAGGTAGTATGACTGGAGCCCCGAAGAAGCGCAGTGTTGAGATCCTACAAACACTGGAAGACGAGGAACGCAATGTTTATTCTGGTGTCTTTGGTTACTGGTGCGCTGGAGGTGGTGGAGACTGGTCTGTTACCATCCGAAGTTGCTTCAAATACGATGATCGATACGAATGCGATGCTCATTCGTGGACGGAATTCAACAATTCCGATTTCTACCCTGGCGTTCACGAGCCAGAGCAATGGGTGATTGGCGCTGGAGGAGCCATCACTGCGCTGTCCGATCCTGATGCAGAGTGGGATGAGATGTTGGCAAAACTTCAGTCAGTCCTGCGCGTTTTTGGCGCGGCTGTTCCTCGTGGGCATTAGTGGAGATTTTATGTTATTTCAACGGCTACCTACTTAATCGCGGGCCTGCATCGTCTTATACACTAACTGAATTCAACTTCACCACCTTTTTTCAGCAGCTGAAGAATCCCAGTCACGATTGGTTTCGTGGGCGAGTTTGCATTGCACGTAGTCTTCTATCTTCCTTCGACATCAAGTCGTCTTGGTCGTAAATCTAAAATTCTGGTCGTCGCCGAAGGAGCCTGTTAGCCCACACGTATGGGCGGGTGCTCCATCTTCAGTTGCAGGAGACTTATTTTGGGCGATCCGTATCAATCGGCTCATTCACGCTTGTTTGTGTGTGTCGGTGCTTGTTCACATGCACTGGTGTCCGCGTTCGTTGGCACCTTGTTACGCATGTTTTCATTTGTCCCTGTCTGCCTTTTCTCGTGCTTTGTTTTGCTCAAGCAAGCTGCTCGCACAGAGGAACGACATGATCAAATCAAGCGCACCCGCTTTTACAGTCCCGGTCCTTCTTATGATTCAGCATGCGATTCTTTCCTTCTCGATGTGGCTGAAACTGTGAAAGAGAGTTGCCTAGCTAATTTCATTGATCGTACAGGCAATGCTCAGACGCTCCAAACTACTTGCATTGTCTGTGCCGGGGTGTGTGTTCGCCTTGCATGCATAACCTTCGCAGCAATCAACTTCCTGCTCATGCGCTGGCCAACGGTCTTTGGATTGGTGCAGTTCCCCCGAGAACTCAGCATTCTTAGTCTACCAGAGCGCATTCTTGTCGCATTCTATTATCCTGCTGCCTTTGTCATCAAGCTGTATCCTCAACAAAAGGGCGCTAGGCAATGGGATACGCCTGCTCTGAATAGTGGATTGCGCGGTAACGTATCTACTTACTGTTTAAACACTCAAGACATTTGCGACATGATCCAAGGAGACTTGTTGCCTCGTCACCCTGATATCCTTCCTGCTATGATCGCCGTTTCTATGATCGGACCTCATAACTTGCCTGCTCATCGTCTTCCCTCGACTCTCAGCGTCAATCGGTTACGTATTCGAGATGCCCTTCAGTTTCTGAAGAAGAACAATCGACTTTATCGCAAATATTCAGATTTTGAAAGACGTGCTCGCTTCGTTACCTGAAAACGGAGTACCTTTGCAATTACTTTCTGTGATCAAATTTTCTGATGAAGTTTGCTAGAGCAAGAACGAGATGGCTATGTTGTAGAAGACGATGATGTAGTGTATCGCTGGTTGCTGTTGCTCTGTGAATATCAAAGTATTATTTGCACATGCAAAAATACGGTGTTTGGGGTCTGCACACTGCACGTGACCAAAAACGCTGATCAAAACGGCTTTCCATAGATCCGATCACTGTTCTGTAAACCCTCTCAAACCCCGGCCTCCCTCACCCCCTCCCTAGGGGGTGCCCCACTCCACTGTCTGGGCACTGGACGGATAAATAGCTCGGGCTTACGCAGGTCCTGTGGCTTTTGCTTTCGACTTCGCTATAAGACATCATGTCGGACGCTGTCTCCATCAGAACCACACGCAGTGCACCTCCAAGGTTTGTATCATTTCATTCAATTGGTTCTTGCTACAATCCTGACCATTGATTTCTAGTTACAGTGTTGCACTTCAACATTCAACACATGAAGAAGAAGAACCCCCAAGAGTTGTACCGGAAGGACCAAGGCTGGTGGTGTTAGCGCCCCAGGTCAATTCATCGACTGATACCCTCGTTGGAGCCACCGCAAGGTCTTATTGAGTATTCCTCGTCATCAACTTAGTCTTACATTTCAACAGAGACCATTCAGCTAACGTAGAAGCAAGAGGTCCATTCACATTTTCACCCTTTGGTCCAAACGCTATGCTGCTTTTGCCTCATGCGCTCTCTTCAAATTCACGTCCTCTGTATCACATATCTATCTCGAACGACTGCTTCAGACCTCAGATATACACCACAACTATTCGCAGAGGAACGGAGCAAGGCCAGATTATCGCAGAAATTCAGTTTGGTCTTCCGAATTTCCCTCGACGATCTTCTACTGATCCTTCATATGACGTCTATTGTCTATAGACGGTCCATATTACGCGATGATGGATATCGCGGGACTGTTGAATACATAGAGCCAAGGCGGCATAAGATAGCTTATCTTGACGATGTACATTCTAAACAGTCCGCAGACCACGAAAAGGTAAGTCGTTGCCTCGTCCGATTAATGACTTTCGTGCCATGTTATCCCTGGAACCGACAGATGCGATTTGAGTGGCGTTTTAATAAGGACATGCGTCTCATGTGGCAAACAAATTGCGCGGAAAAAAAAGTGCGACTTCCTGCGATTATGTAAATGAGCAATTTGCTTAAAGATGTTCTTGGTGTATAGGTGATATCCGTTCAGTGTACTAAGTTTGGAACGTTGAAGAATCCTCCGATTCTTGCTACTTTCATTCCGACCAAAAAGAAGGGGGAGCTTCAGACATTGGACATCACTTCGGAGGGACGACCTTACATGGACGATATCATAGTCTCGTGCCTCGTAACAGAGGGGAGAAGAACTACCATGTATGATAGGTGAACTCAGAGATACTATACATACACGGCTGGATATATATACCGAGCACGCATGTCCGCCGGTATGGGTGAGCTGTGTCCTGCAGATACCTTGCTATACATACACTGACGGACATATTCTACACGCATCTGATAATCAAGTGAATTTAGGCCATGAGAGCAATATGTTTGAGTTCACTGTCAGATATTAGTAAGATCTGGCTTCGAGGGTGGGAACTTTCGGCACTCACTTCTGAACCTGCTGTCCGACCTTCATCCGTTCATAAACCGTACGCTGATCCACTGTCTGACTCAAATTGAACGCATTTGCACGTTCAGATAGCTTAGGGATCGGAACAAGCTCATAATCGGACGAGAGGTGCCAGAAAAATGTTGATGATATGCGAATATTAGGCCGGTCAGAGTGAGTCTCTTTGCGCCGCTCGACAGTCTAGAAAAACACAGTCAGCTCTTCACTTGCACCATAGAATTTGGTAGTGTATGACCTGCAACGTAGCCTCGTTCACGACTACCTCATGAAACCCAGCTTTGATGAGGCCTCCGGTTAAATGTTCGAACTGTTTCCCTGCTTGCACGAGTAGGTAACGGCCAGTGGGTGGGAATCTAACGAGGATGCGCTTCCCAGTATTACGTGCCCAGATGTTGAGTCCTGGATACCTTGAACGACCGTGGATCGTTAAACAGTTGAGATCTGTATGAAAGCCGGCAAGTATGGTATCCTTTTGCCCATACTTCACCAAATCAGAAGCCGTTGGGCCAAGTAGATGAGGGCTATCCGCCGCATCAATGTAATATCCCATAGGATATCCGATGATAGATGAAATACTGACCCATATTTGCCTGCGTCCTTGATAAATTCTCGAGGAAGTCCGAGACCGATCGCTGTCATTTCAGCAATATTCTCGACACTATCGTTTGAGTTAGTGACAGCCTACAAATAATACGTCTTCAGGACTCACGCATTCTTCATGGAATGCCCCCATTTCTCCATAGTGGATTCCCACTTCTCACTGATTCTAGGTGCCTGGGGCACGACATTTGGAGCATTAAGCGCCGGATACTCGGTCTCATATGGAGGGGGAGTTCCCATTTTCCAGAAGAACCTGCACTTGGGGTCAGGATGGTGCCCGGAGATATCTAATGGCCGTTCAACTGGGTCCAGGTTGGCGATAATATCCAAGCACGGCTCATCCACGGCACATTTGGGCTTCTCTGTGTTCTCAAGGGTCACGCCAACCTGATAATGAATCTCTGGCCGTTCATCCTTCTTTAAGTCCTCGACAGGCTGCGCGAAATAGTCCTCGATGAGATCGAGGAAAGCATCATTGTCTTCCTCTGATACGCGAGAATCATGTACAAGGAGTGCCCCGTATGTGATCAATGCATCTGCGGCCTGTGAGTTGAGTGATTAGAACCACCCAGATCACGGGTGGTAAGAGGCAGACCTTATTGCATTCCTCTTGCACTCTGATTGATTGCGTGGGTTGAGACAAGAAGACATCAAGGTCAATGACTGGGAGGGTTTCTGATAGCGCTGACTCAGACATGGTGGAAAGTGAACGTAATGATGACCAGTTCTTAAGTTATAAAGGCGAGTCACAGGTTCTGATCGTAGACTGCTGGCCCGGGGCTCTTGTTAAGCTGCTCCCGAGAGGAGCAACTTTAAGGTAGGACCTATCAAAGGATACCTTCGTCCATCCAAGGCCATCCCCAACTCAAGCCGCGCGTCTCCCTAAAGGCTAGATTAGTATACTATCTGTAGCCGATTTTTATTGTAAATAGTCCGGTGGGCTGACGTGAATTTGGAAGTGAAACTCTCCTTGATCAGTGAGAGGCAATATACTCCGATGACATTTCTACCGCCCGAACATGGAAGCCGTCAAAATGCACATGAGGCCTCGAAGGCCTCGAGGAGACTTGCAAGCATGCTTGCCATCACTGAAGGCAGCCGCTATTTCGGCACATTCCGCACTGGTTCACCCTGTTCCCCCATCTACCTCCCATCATTGTAAGTAGGCACCTTTCGCAACAACTATCACTTGTACACTCCCTTTAGACTGTCATCATGATCAAGGTCTGTACATCGCACCAGAACTTCATGCATTAAGTGCACGGTCCTAATGAGCTTAGATATGGAGCATGAAGAAGAACGAGGACGCTGCAACCAAGAAGCGACCGAAAACAAGTGCTGCACAGATACGAGTGCAGAAAGGTATGTACCGGCTTTCCTGTTGTGTTCCATGAATTCATGAATTTAACGTACGCGATGTCAGATCTGACCGAACTTGACCTCCCTTCCACCATGAAGACGGACTTCCCGGACCCTACCGACCTCCTGAACTTCACACTCACCATCACCCCTGATGAAGGTGTTTCTGCTGGATACTGAAAACACCTGCCTTACTGACCAAACTTGTCAGGCATGTACAAGGGTGGTGCTTTCACTTTCTCATTCACCATCAACACCAACTATCCACACGAACCGCCCAAGGTCAAGTGCATGCAAACAGTGTGTTTCCTTTACCTCAAATACTACGTCATTTAAATCTGCTTGATATAGATATACCATCCAAACGTTGACCTCGAGGGAAACGTGTGTTTGAATATTCTCCGAGAAGACTGGAAACCTGTTTTAAATTTGAACTCGGTTATGGTCGGCCTACAATACCTTTTCTTGGAGCCTAATGCAGATGATCCATTGAACAAAGGTTCGCTAGATTTGCTTCCAAATGGATGAGCTTGTCTGACTACGTTTGACAGAGGCAGCAGAAGAACTACGAAAGAATCGTGAACAATTCCTGTACAATGTTAAGACATCCATGCGCGGTGGTATTATCAAGGGTGTGACATATAACAAGGTCCTTATATGATGTTTTTTTAGACGTGTGTAGACGTTCCCATCTGTTCACCATGATCCTTGTTTTCCACTGGCATTATTTTGTATTCGAAGATCGTCGAGATATTTGGTCATTGCGGGGGATTATTATTACAACAAGGTAATACAGTGTCTGTCTTGGATCGCAGATTTCCTCAAGTGGTTCATTCCATATGCATTCAACTTCCCCTGTAAGTGGTGAAAGAATACGGGCTAATCAAAAGTGGGATGTGGTAATGTTCTTCTGGGTTTTCAATCTCGAAAGTGATCTGTGCACATGAGTATGTCATAGAACAAGTACTGCCTGGCTAGTAAACCAATCTTACCTCCACCCAGGGATAGAAACATTTTCTGCCTGTCTTTTCAAAATATTCCTTCGGCTTGAAGACGATCTTGTAAGTCCCAGCACCCACTTGTTTATTCTGCAACCTAGCCTCATCGGATCCTCGTGGAGGCAACAAGTTCAAGCATCGCCCATCGGCATCTGTGACGCTGCAAAAGTACGATTGTCTGCTAGTAAGTGGGTATTCAAGATGATCGACTTACCCATGTGCAAATGGACTGAAGATGTCGACATTTCTCTGTCCTTTCTGGTGGATCTGAATGTTGACTTCCACCCCCTCTGCTGGTCTTCCAAGAGAGACATCAAGGACTTTGGGGCGTTAATTATCACTAGCAATATCTTTTCGACATAAATGCTTACCATGGCATGTGATGGGTCCCTTTGACATAATGACGAGTACTACTGGGAATCCTGCCGTCTGTATGGCCGTTTATATGTTGTCTTGGAGCTTTGAAAGCCACGTGAAAGAGCTCCAAAATGCTGAGAAATGCCCCTGCCCGTCGCCGCCGTCGCTGGGAGTTACCTTGCGAAGCAAGGTCATGTTGGATGGCACATAATCTGTCAGTCACCTGACGTGAACATCATGCTGTGCGATAATCGAAAATGATAGAACTGCGTCAATATGAATACACAAAACTACTTCATAAAGTATCCAATTAGTTACTCAGATCTCAGAACTTGGTCTCGATGAAATAGCTCGGTCTCGATGTCAGAATACAAATACAGTCAAGCTCAAAGCTCGGTCTCGATGACACAATACAGATACAGATACAGTCCAAATATGAGGTGAACTTCAACGATGGCATAGCACCTCTCTTGAGGTATATCGATGTTTGGTCCGAGACTATGCTAGTTAGACAACAATGAGAATTGTCAGAAGTGCGTGGCTTACCTATCCGGTGCGAAAGTCCACCTAGCACGAGCTCGATCCCAAACGAGCTGTTTTCAGTCACAAAGATTGATGACGAGGCAAAAGGAATGTGAGGGAAACAAAAACACCCAAGGATAGGATGAACTGAGAGAGACCACATGCCTCATCAACACGGATACAAAGTTGGCCCTGTGTCTCGTCAGGCGCAAGCAAGGAAGAAGGTATGAGAGCCAACGATCAGTAAACGTCAGCGCGAGGCAACATGACTAGAGATAACACATGGAGCTACATGCACAAAACGTTTCAGCAGATGCAAAAATCACAGGATGATATAGTGAGGATGGTAGAGCGCGTGAACCATCAACCTAATCATGATGCTCGAGAGTCGAGGCCGCATTGGTCTATTTGGATTTGTTGAACTTTCGTACATTTTGCGTGCTGCTACGATGTTTTAATCGGCTTATCGAACGTGCTCAAAAGGCATTAGGACCAAGCTGAAGACGACATCGAATATGCTAAAGGCCAACCTATTAATTGGCTGAAAAAAAATACTTATCGCAGTGATAACGAAAAACAAGCACACTTAGGACTACCGTCACGCAGATTCGGGGGTCCGAAAACGACGAGTGTTGGAAGAGGTCGACAAAGCCGATTCCCACGAATTAAACATTCTCCGGAGCAAGGTCATAAGTTCGCACAGCGAACCCCTAGTACTTATGATTGAAGATCGATGATCTGCTCCTCAATCCCCTGTCGGCCTCAGAATGGGTACTACTCCTTTTTGGCGCGAAATCACGTGCTCCCTCAAGCAATCTGACTTGTCAAGATTTTGTGACATCGAATATTCATGTCTGCTGCGTCCACTCCTGCTGTTCCGCCTCTGGGAAAATATCTTGCATCCTCAGGTAGGCTAAGATTATATGTATCGACTCTTCTTCGCTGACTTGATGCAGAAAAGAAAACACGGGATAAAGCTGTAAAAAACCTTGCTGTTTTCCTGTCCAGTGACTCCGAAAATGTATTGCCTGATCTTGAAATGGCTAAGCTATGGAAGGGCATCTTCTACTGTGTGTCTCCACATTTATCCTCGATCGTCCGTATCATATCTGATGTCATATTCCAGGTTTCTGGATGTCAGATAAACCACTCGTACAGCAGGCACTAGCGGGGGAGCTAGCGGAGCTCATACTTACGATCACTGACGTACCTTCGTCACTCAATTTTCTGCGGGGATTTTGGACAATGACAGTCAGAGAGTGGAATGGGATTGATCGTCTTCGGTGCGTGCGGTGATTTTATACCGTGATGTTTCAGATACCAATATTGGCCTTCAGGATGGACAAGTATTATATGCTCATCAGGAAGTTCGTGAATGCGAGCTTCAGATTCCTTGTGCGGACAAAATGGGATAGTGCCACCGTTGATGAGTATAACTCAATATTATCTGGCCCTAACGGACCGCTATGGTGAGAAGTCCTCCAAATATCGGAAAGCAGACTATAGATATTCTTGCAGTCCCAGCGATATACGTGTGCCAACCAGTCTTGCATTCCACTTATCGGAGATATATATCGAGGAGCTCGAAAAAGCGCTCACAAACTCGGAATCACCAACTCCAGTCCCGTTGTCCACGCTGTTGTCGCCATTTATCGTCCTCGCCGCACGAACGCCCACAAACACGACTTACAGACACATTCAATCGTCATTGTTTGAGCCATTGCATAATTTGCTGAAGTCATCGTCGGGTCCTCCAAGCCGCAAGAAAGCGCGCACACTATCTCCTGATTACTCGAAACTACTGGTCAACGCCTGCACCTCTAGCTCAAACAGTGATCGAGCAATAGATGCAGATGCTGTGCGCAAGTCGATATTGCAAAAAATATTCGATGTGGCAAGCGAAACAGAAACTCGAGATGCAAATCGACGGAGAATGTACACGTTCTACAAGAATGCGGTGGAAGATGATGAGGATGAGGATAGTGCTGGATAGATTCATACGGTACATGTAATGCTTGGATGTTGCGTGACGAATGCACTATCTTCGATAAAGCTGCAGTTCCCACTGCTTAGCTGATGGATCGATTGCAAATAATCAATTAACCTCGCAGTCGGTTCGAAACGGTTCGCTGATCCTGTTTGATATCTGCATTACCGTGTTTGCGATTCGAGTTGCCTGCTTTGCACATCCTTGTAGTACAATGACGATCCATTCTCCAAGGTGACCCGAACATGATGTGTACTACATCTTTAATTCACAAATCTGGCAGTTCTCGTTGCGTTAGACGTCTCCACGTAGACTCCTTCCACCAGTCCTCCATACTATCAATACGTTCCCAAAGCGTCTCTTCGTCTACGCCGTAGATATCATATTTTGCACCATCTAGTAAACGTCCTTCCCTTTTGGCTACTTCTAGTGCAGCCTTATTTTCACCTCTGTAATGGTAACGTTGAATTTGAGCAGTGCAATAACAGAATTGAGGAGTTACCCACCGGAGGAGGTCTAGAAGCTCCTGTCGGTCGGGGAAGAATAATCGAGGTTCAAGGACCGCAAGAACAGCGAGGGCAGCGCGAAAAAGAAAAGAATCCCCCTCTAGTAGGAGAACGTCCCATAGACGTGCGCATGCTTCGAAGGGCAGGTGGTCCAAGAATAGCGGGATAAGCCAGTCAGGGAGATAAGCACCAGGCGATATTTGGTGTTGCTTGAAATTGAAGTATACTAGAGAAAAATGAACTAAGCCGAACAGGTGGAAGATGGTATATGCAATCTTACTTTTTGGCATGCAGTCAGCTAAGAGCGTGTCGAATATCCTGAAAAGCAGCATAAACACAGATGCCTTCACTCATGTCCTTGTGCTCACCGATAATAGGCTTCGACCTAAAGCACTACGATTCAGTCAGACTCTGATCCAAGCCAATCTGTAGCACTCACGTCATCCTTGGCAGCAACGCTGCCATATAGTGACCTCATGCAATGTCTCTCTAAGAGATTTCTCATCACGATGAAACCTTGCTGTGGCTTCATGTTGAGTAATATCATCCCGGCGATCTTAGCGGTGCCGTGCACATATCCCAAACCCTCATCTGCACGAGAGACGACCCATGCGCATAACATATCTTTGAGGTCTTGGTAGAGCGGCCCAGTTTCGGGGTGGAATATGTGTAGGGACGGAAGGGTGGACAAGATGTCTTGCTCGAGGGTTTGTAATGTTTCGGCAGGAAATGAGCCGGTCGAAAGTGCGCGGGTAGCTCGACTGAAACAGTTCCTGTAGTTGTCTTGAAATACGATGAAGGCCACGTAGACAGAAAAGATGTGCGCATATACGACGCTTACCTTTGCTCAGAGCGAGTGCGTTACCGACAGCTTGCTGCCACATAGAAGCGCGTAGTTTTGTAGGTATACCGTTCCACCAAAGTCTGCGGAGATTGGGATTCTTATAAACGACTCGCCAATCAGAAGATATCTCCTTCTCCCATTTGTACATGGACTGCTCGATCTTAAGCTCGCGAGCTAAACGTCGTTCTTGCAGTGCTTTCCGCCGTTTTTCCTCTGTTATCAAGTCAACATATAACCACGATTTATGTGACTAGAAAATAACCTGCAGCGCGACTTTGTTTCATCATGGCCTGCCAGTCCGCCATATGTTTCTGGTCTTCTTGACGGTTCTTCGGAGGCAGGAAATGAGGGCGCGTCTGGCTCATTACCTTCTGGAAGGCGCTCGGTCCCGCTGAGTACGTTTGTCTTCTTTGACTTGTGACGATTGGGGTTGTTGGGCTTTTTGGTAACGGGGAAGATGGGGATGGAGGTAGTGGTGGAGCATCATGACTAGGCGGAGGGAGGTAGGAAGAAGATACATTCGAGACCGGATGTACCGTTTCGTCTTCCTGATGACCCTCGCCATTACTTTCTGCGCCCGTACTCATTATTACGCGACTTGGCGGTGATCTACTGATGTCAATGTGAACGACGGGATATGACGTATCCCGCGGAGGGGAGGTATCCCGTGAAGCGGAGGCATCCTCCTCTTGAGTATCTTCATGGCTAGCCGAGTGTCCGTTTGCATTAGGTTCTTCTGAGAGTGTGATATCAGAGAAGTCCTGGGGAACCTGCTGCTCATCAGGTTGTTCTTCCGCAGTCAGCGGTGGTGGTGACGAGGAAGAAGATCTAGTCTCTGAATATGAGTTTGAACTCCCATCGAGACAAAAAGTTGATATCGACGTGTCATGATCGCGCGCAGAGCTATACTCCGTCTCCCCGTCATCTTCTTGGTCATGATTTCCGGCCCAGCTCGGGTTCTCGGCGAGATGTTTCCTGATAGCTGCGGAGCTGAACTCGAGGTTATAATCAGCATCCTCACCATCTGAGAATGCATCGTCGAGGTCGAAGTGGCCCTCGAATCCTTTGCCTACTTGACGTTCTACGACTTCGTGCTCGTTGTCTGCCATGGTATGTAGTATGGATACGTTTCAAAAGTTACAGATGCCTGCCTCTAGTAGTGTTGTGGTCTGATTTACTCATCCAGAAATAGCCTCCAATTAATATTATAACAGTCACCTCAACGGTCAACCAAGTTCAAAGTCTTAGATTGTAGGTCTCCGTTCAAGTGAGTTTTACTTTCTTTATGCATTCATCTCTCAGCCAAACTGACATGTAGGATTGTCTTGACATGATTGCAGAGGTATTACTAGTACTCGCAGGCCACTCTTCGTCGTTGTTCCCAACAGATCACAATTTACATCCTGCTTTCCGACCATTACTGCATCCAGGCGAAGAGCAATGTCTTGAAGCCCTCGGACACATAGCTTCCAGATACCGCAATATAAAGAAGGCGTGTGCGACCCTCTCCCGGTCCAAGTCGCGTTATGTCTGCGCACTCTGCGCGACGTTAAACCAGATCCTAAGGGACGAGTACGAAAAACTTGTGGTCGATACAGAAGCCAAGGTCTTGAAACGCGATCCTGATCTCGTTTCCAACGGGTCTTTCGTACCGCTTTCAGCTTTACGAGCGACTTTTGCAGAATGGGACTCTCCTCTCACAGCGCTAGAGACCTTGATGAATCAACTACAAGCTCAGAAGCACTGGCAGCCCGGTCCCCTAATTGACATGTTACTCGCACGTTCAAAAACTGGTGTTTATCGGATTGCCGATATCATATCACGTCTTTCTAGTCGCCGTCCAACGCGTCTGGCGGTGCCAGTTGTCTGCTTTCCTGGTTCACGGATCCCTTTCTTCCTCCGATCCTTTAGCATCGGCAGATTTCACGCTTCTAGATGGCACTATGCCCTCTTGCGTCTCTCCCCAAACAAAAGAATCCATCGTTTATGTTGGTCGGGCCATTGCGACCATAAAAGCCAAGAAGTGGGAGAATCAACTGCCGCGCGAGCAGGCGGTTGAATATGCTAATTTGTTGGAGACCGTCTTACCCGAGGATCAATACAAATTCGACCTCGTGATCTCGCAGATCAGGACAAATGTCAGCGAATGGCTATGGCTCAACGTTCTGACGCGGAAAGACGTGGAAGATGCCGTTATATCATTGTACGTGATCCTTCCGAGCCCCCCTTTTTTACTTTTTACTTTGTGATTTTTATTTGGATCTGGCAGACTAATAATTGACCGGCAGGGCAAGTTACTTCCTTCTGCGTAATGGTGAATTCAGCTTAGCGCTCATCCGTGAGATCGAGCGCTTGAAGATATCACGGCTCACGACACGATCAGGAGTGGCGTCAGTGATTCGAGAACAAGATTTAAATCTGGCGCTCCTCCGAGCGTCTCTTGGTACAACCGCTCAACATGATCCGTCGCTTCTACATCTCCATTTTGAGCTTCCTGCCGGGCCCCTCAGACCCCTCCTGCCCTCATTGGCAAATTCCAAAACACTATCTTCATCTGTCGCTAGTAATTCATCCGAAGTCACATCCTTTGATGATCTCCTTTTAGGCACAAATCTTATACTGTCGTACAATGTCACCTGGCCTCTGGATCTGTTTCTGCACCTTTCGGATCTTCAGATATACGCAGCTCTTTTCAACTACCTCTCTTCTTTGCGTAAAACCCACACTCAAATTCACACTTGCTGGACCTCGCTCTCCAACGCACAACGTGCGCGACGGCGATGGACAGGCCTTGGCGAAGGTGGTACTGCTGAAGACCTCGAAGCGCGTAGAGAACTGTTACGCTGTGGGTGGGGTGTCGTGAGGGATATGGGGTGGTTCCTTGACACCCTTCTCGGTTATGTCATGGTCGATGTCGTAGATGTCGAGTTCAGAAGACTGAAGGATCTTTTGGGAAACCCAAGTCGGGGACGTGCAGAAAGCGTGAGCAAGCACCTCAGTTCACAGAACATTGCCGGCCAGGCCAATGCAGATCCCTCAACTTACCTTGATTTTACTACGTTGCGAAATATCCATACGACGTATCTCGAGCGGCTGCTGACGGGGTGCTTGTTGTCTAATCCCGCTCTTACTGCGATCCTTCGGCCGATTTTTGAGGTGTGCGAACGATTTGTTGCGCAGGTCGAACGATGGGGCGGAGACGTCCTACCTGCGTTGTTGTTTGAGGGGAGTTTGGCACCTGGTGCGGATGATAAAGTGGGTGCTATGGTACAGGAACGGTTCCAAGTGGTGTCAGAGATCAATGAGGTACTGCATTCTGTTCTCAACATTAGCTATTAATTCTGACCGTCTCATACAACAGAGCCTTCATAAACTATTTAACTTGTTCTACGAGCAGTTATCACTCTCGACTTCTCAGCAGCCCCTCATGGCCACTGGCGATGCCTCAAAGTCTATCTTGATGAACGCTAGCGTGGCAAATGCATCAACATTACAACGCACGTCCATCCGAGGAAAGGGGTCCAAGGGTTTTGAGGGAGAGGGAGAAGTCCGCCGGCATGTTGAAAGGCTGTTACTTCGGTTGGACTTCAATGGGGCGTTTTCGAAGCCCAGAGCTAGTGCCAACGAACAAACCCAATGGGAGGGTAGTATAAGTATTTAATATTTGTAATTGTTAAAATTATGCACTTCGAATTCGTGGGCGCTAAGAAGCGCTAAGATCATGATATCTAGTCTCCGATTTCATCCAAACTTCCGCTGGCGTATTGCTGGCAACATTGCTGGTCCTGCCTGATCAGATAATCTATAAGCTATATTCCTGCACTGTTGACTGCTGTGGATCGGGGCAGACCCCACTCCCACGAAAGATTTATTTCGTAATTAATACAAACTTTTACCTTTTACTTGAATAAAGCAGGTAATAAGTGAACACATGACCGGAGGATCGATAGCAGTTCGTCGTCTCTCCCAACAAGTTAGACTACTTTCTTCATCACGTTCATCGATGGTCTCCAGTGCGTTTCGTCGTCAAAAAAACCTTGCAATTTTTACTAACACGCTTCTAGCATTTGGTACTCGCCTCATTGGCGCGCCTAACACCCTCGGTAAGTGTGATCATACTACAATTATCGTACCAGCTGATCAGCTCGCACATGATCAGAACACCGAGTGTTCATCGAACATAATGGCTCCGTCGTGTCCTCTTTTCACGACGTTCCTCTCTTTGCCGACCAGAGCAATGGCATCCTCAACATGATCGTCGAGGTTCCTCGTTGGACTAACGCGAAGATGGAGATCTCCAAGGAGGAGCCCTTCAACCCCATCAAACAGGACATCAAAAAGGGTCGCTTGCGCTTCGTCCGTAACTGCTTCCCCCATCATGGGTACATCTGGAACTATGGTGCTTTCCCTCAGGTAAGCTTTATTTCGCTTCTCGCTCTTGTTCGGTTGGCTTATCGCGATCGATTATCGTAAGACTTGGGAGGATCCGGCTGCTCTCCACCCTGAGACTAAAGCCAAGGGTGACAACGATCCATTGGATGTCTGTGAGATCGGTGAACAGGTCGGCTACGTCGGTCAGGTCAAGCAGGTTAAGGTTCTCGGTATCATGGCTCTGCTCGATGAGGGCGAGACCGACTGGAAAGTCATCGTCGTTGATGTGCACGACCCCCTTGCATCAAAGCTTAACGACATCGAGGACGTGGAACGCCACCTTCCTGGGTTGATCAGGGCCACCAATGAGTGGTTCAGGTATGTGCTACATCTTATCAGCCTAAGATGGAGCTATAGCATCTACTAGGATCTACAAGATTCCCGATGGCAAGGGCGAGAACGCCTTTGCTTTCTCTGGTGAGGCCAAGAACAAGAAATATGCTACAGAGATCATCCACGAGTGTAACGAGGCATGGCGCCGTCTCATTACCGGCGAGAGCCCCGCTAAAACCCCTACCTATGATTTGTCTATGTACGTCGACTTTCCTTGTTTTGTTCTAGTTGTTGAAAAATAACAAATTCTGCAGCCGCAACCTCACCAATCCAAACTCGCCAGGTCTCGTTACCCGTAACGACCCCACGTATGCTAACCTTCCTCCCGACTCCAGGCAACCTCCTGCAATTATCGATCCTTCCAGTAAGTACTTGTTCCTCCCCTTTGTCCTGCATAGTATAACTTCTCTGTCCCATAGTCTCAAAGTGGTTCTACATCTCATCCGTCCAGGTTTAGAGGATGGACGGGGAAATAAATGTATAATCGATGTACTTGGATTTGTGACGACTACATATCCTTCAATTCTTTGCCAAGTGGCATGTAAATTTTACAAGGCAAATCAGCTCTCGCCGAACTTAGGTGGCAGGCTACGAGACTAGCCACGAAGTATCAGCCAACGGATATTATATTATGTAATTTCTTTTGCCCCTGGCAGCTCAGCGCTCCTAGATCTGTGCCGACTTCGCCAATCGCTGAATCTCAAATCGTCGAGTTGAACGAGTGTTACACCAACAATGCTATTATTGTCACATATCAGAGAGACAGAAGCTGCGATTTCCAAACCAGAAGCTACGAAGAGCCGGAAAGGGGGGAAGAAGGCTTTAGCTGCCAAAAAGGATCGCCGTGCATAATGGGAATTCAGCTTCAAGGTACAACGCCTTCAAGCATCAGCCTGCTTGACGCAGACTGCACTAGCAATGTTGCAGCAATGTGAAGGTCTTCACACAAGCTAGCTTCAGGCTTCATCGCAAAGCAGCGCAATGATTGTGACCAACAAAGTTGAACAAGCTAAACATGACATCGGTATAGTCAAACTGCTAATAGTACAAGGTCGTAAAAAGTGTATGCATAAATCTTTTCCTAACGCCTATAGTATCAAGGTACTCTTCGATAAAGGATGTTTGAATAACTGCCCTATGCCATCACTCCGAGTCTTGCTTGTGAGTAGCTACACCGATAACCGAATTGACCCAGACGTGTTTGCCCTCTTTGATCTCATCTCCCTCATGAAATTCGGTCCCCTTGGAAAATACGAGGGCGTGTGAGGACCCGCCAAAGTGGAACATTCCAAGTTCCATCCCCGGCTCCACTACTTGGCCTTTCTTCACTGTCACCTGACAAGTCGACACCTCCGCCATCCCCACGCCTATGAAGCACATTGTGCCGATGTTGATGTCGTCTGACTTGATGTAAATCAGCACACGAGCGGCCTCGATGGTGAGGAAGGGCTGGGAGCGAATCAATGCACCATGAGGGTCACCCTCTGGGAGATCAGGGTCACCGTGGTCTGCCCCGGCATCTGGAAGCACGGCATAATATGTTCCGTCAACTACGACAATATCCGTGACTGTGCCCTTGATGGGGCTGTGCCAGCGGTGATAGTCGAGGGGACTGAGGAATGCTTGATAGACGGTCCCGCCCTCGAACAACTTGGCGTAGTCATCGTCGCGGTTCAACATGTTGTAAAGGGAGTATTGCTGGCCTTTGAGCCAAAACTGATCATGTTGCTTCACGTCCCTGCGAATGCGTAGAACGGTGGACTCGCAGGCGCTATATATGAGAGTCGGCTCTACAACAGCCCGAGTCTGGAGTCCACCTGGGAATGTAACGGGATGATTATCACGGGTTACGATGGGGCGCACACCATCATGGAGCGCTCGAGTGAAGAAGGCATCCCAGGTTGTAAACCCACGGTTATCAGCTGCCGCGTCAGGACACTTGTAGGTCTGCTCGAAGCTATATTTCCCTAGATGCGTCTCGAGACTGGTAATTCCAGCCTTACCAAACCAGCCTTCGTCAGTCGTATTGAGCGTTAAATTCGATCCAGGTTGCATGAGGAATTTTCCCCAGTTCTCCAACAAGGCTTTGAGCGCACGGTTGAACTCCTTCATGCGGAAAAGGTCATAGGCTGCAGCTGTGTTGCTAAGCAAATCGAAAATGAGGTAAATAGGCACCCCGATAGGCTCGCCAATCACATCGCCATTCTCGTCTGTTGCTACCTCATACTTGGGTGCTGTCACGATGATACAGTCGAGGAAGGACAACAAGTGTTCGAAGTCCGTCACCTGTGCAAGAGAATGAGTCTTTGTCACAAGGCTTACTGGCTACTACCTCATACCTTGTTCCGCGTATCCACTTGTAGGAATACTTGGTCGAACAGAGACTTCATGACGGAATCCCCTTGGATCGCTTCCCCGAAAGCTGCAACAGCAGGTTCATGTGAAGTGGAATCAGTGGAACGGCGCAGAGCGCGCCGAACCATATGATCAATGAAGGCCTTGTAGATTGCAGGATTCTTTGGAAACCACCCGCCATAGCCGCAAAGTACAGCAGAAGAAGTCATTGTACTGGGGGCAACTGTTAGCCCTGTTGTCGAATGGGAAGGTTTTGGACTCACAAGAGAGAATGCAACTTCAAGATGGAGTAGCAGGAGCGACTTAGAGGTCCTTATATATGCGAGGCAATGGGTCCAAAAGTAGTATAGATGCCATACGTGCACCATAATGGCATTGGGTCCCAAAGATAATAGTATGCCAGGAAATTTTCTGGGGGTCACCAGTACGGCAACAGAAGCTGGATAGGAGTACAATGATGATCATGCATTCACTAAACATGGGTAGATCGTGAACGTGATTAATCGATAGGGACCGTATCAGCCTCACCTGGGTGTGCGCAAGGATCTACAAAATTTAGAACACACCTTCTGTTGGACGGTCTACTAGTACCCGATTCCAGAGCAACTCCTGGGAGGAATGGAACTTAACTGACCGGCGCAAACGAGGCCCGCGCCATTGACATGGATCACGATCACCATACATTCAATCTTCGCGAAGAAGTTCATGACGGGCAGAATGGAAGATGGGGCACATGTTCTAAAACATACGGAAGGAAGCAAGCTGCAAGCAGAACAGGGAGCACCAGGATTATGGATGACCTTGAGTACTATGGAAGCCGCCAGCTTCCGTCACGAGACCTACAACAGGTAGTCCAGGACACCATGCACCTTGCAAGGGAAGGGTAGACCTCATCTCCTTGACTTGTGTTTTGCCATTGTTTTCTGTTGAGATTTTCGTACAATGTAACAAGATTCACAATAAAGACAGTGAGGTATTCCTGGCTCAGGGGATATGGAAGGCTTTGAAGCTTAAGCTGCATCACTGGATTGGTCCGTGGCTACGGTAGGCGGTGCTTATGGGGCTCGGATATTTCCGAGACACAAATTCATTTCCGTATGGCAAAGAGTTGTTCATTGTTCTTCCAGATCTACGTTCCCATACTCGGAGAGATGTAATCAAACACTTCGAACTCGCTGTCTCCATCATGCGCCCTATAGGTAAGGCATATGACCGCCTCATATACTGAGTACAAAACTTCAAAACAAAATTATACATTTTTTCAAAATATGTATCGACAAGTTCTCGGTTGGACTCATTCATCAGTATCGATGTCCTACCATCAAGTAGGCATGCTGCTCTGGTCCTTAAGGATATCTTCATCTCGTAAATCAGGTATGTACGCACTATGAGCACACCCAATTTCATTATTGCTATAGTTACTGAGTGGATGTATCATGTATTCGCACACCCGCGTCGACCGGTACCTGCACAAGTACACTTGACCCGGGACAAATAAATCATAACTCTAATTTCCCAATTTACCAACAAGTAGCACCCGGG